GATTACAGCCAACCTCTCCACTATCACCAAGATCTCCAAGATCAGCTTCGATTTCTCCAAACCCTCGCGGAGATCTCTACACTACCAGTCATTTTTCTTCAAATGAAGGTAAGAAGTCACTTTGAAATTGATTAAAACGACTTTTTATTTAGGAAAGTATGAAAGAAACGCTCCGCCAAGGGTTTCTTTGAGAACGACTTCCTACACAAAGTCAACTGGACACTTGAATCATTCTTCTGGTGAATTTATTATACTCAATCAATAGTTCATTCGACAGCTTCTCATAAAATCTTTTCAAAAAACTATTTTTCGTTCCTTCCAGGCCTTCTGCTGGAAGGTGTTTGTCCTTTTGGCAAGGGATTTTAGCATTTTTTCTCGGATACTAGTTATTATTACCAGTTGAGACCATCAAAACCTTCAAAAACCATAGAAATGAGTTATTTCGAAACATTCAGCCCTCGTTTCTCGAAAATTAGGTAGTTTTGCAGGTGAAGTCTTAGAGAATTTATATAGGGAACTTCGAGGAAGATTCTGGCCGATTTTCAGAAAATTCCCCTCCTTGTAGGGAGTAATAAATGATATTTTTAAGATCACTCTCCTACTGATTATCACAACTTGCGAACTTCTTTGGGAAAGGCCAAATCAGAGCTCTACGTCAACGACGAATATGCTGAAGTTCCGCCGAGACTCGAAGTCGGTCACGTCAAAAACTTGTCCAAGCTTTTCAGGTGGGTTTCAGTATAATTTTTGAGTCATTTCGTGACATTTTGAAAGGTCGTGAAATTTAAAAAAAAATCGAAAGAGAAAAAGAAAGTTATACTCACTGACTTTCGGCAGGTTATAATAACCAAAAAAGGGCCGCTAATTATTGAATTGGGCCTTATTTCCTTTTTTTAGAATATATTTTTGATAGAATTTCAATCTAACAGTATTATTTTTGAACTAAAATGGAAATTGGTTTAAAAAAATTCCTTTTTCTCAAGGAAAATAACTAGTCGAAAAATAGGCGTTTTTCAAGAATTTTCAGCCTGAAAGTACACTAAAAACCTGTCTTTCTTGAAATTTATAATGAAAAACTGAAAAAAAAGTTGAACGT